AGACGAGAACAAGTCAGGATACAGGATACAGATCACGAGTGTCAGACTCGTGATCTGATTGGCTATTGAAACTTGACTGTGCCCGTTCACTTACAGTGCACAGGGGCCTGCTCTGTTTAATCTGAAGGCCCCGAGCAAATGTAATTTACCTGGCAATACAGCTAGCTGAAATATGATTGGTTAAAAACTCTACCATAATAAATAACTTATTTATCGAGTGGAACTAATAACTAAGTGGAAATAATACAACGTAAAGAATACAGAGAATAATTTTGTTTACATATTTATGAAAATAAAATAACATAAATTATAAAATAACATAAAATAAATAAAAGTAAATTTACTTTTCTGAGAATGTTTAGGCCAGCAGAGAAGGCCTTGCTGGCCCTCAGGGTCCGCCACTGTTCAAATTAATGATCCTCAGAGCTGTTCCCATTGTTGTTGTCTAGGTCGCTACTTCACACTAACAAGCGACGCTGACTGGGTGATTGAAACAAAACCTCTTTTTCTTTCTTTCATTCCCAAAAAGGCAATCTGTTAAAATGCAGATTTCAAACTATAAATTAGAAGACTTGTCAGGTCACGTAGTTCAAATCTATAAGTGTTTGGCAAGCAAGTCACAAGTCAGAAAAAGGGCAACTCACGCCATATTGAATCAAGTCCTCCATCTCTGTGGAAAACACACTGCCAATGTCATTTAAGTAAGTACGTTTCTCCCCTCTGTTATATTTTTGAATGATTGCGATCCTAGTGAGTATACGTGGTAGAGAAAAAGGAAGGATGGATGGAAGGATGTACAATGCATGTAAAGTAAAAAAAGGTGACATTTTGTGTTTGGCAACTTTCCGGCATGAAAAACCCAAGCTACCAAATTCAACAGCAGTGGCTAACTTTGGCTTGTTTACAATGCACGTCTCGAGCACGTTAGTGAGGGGCGTGGCTTTGGGCAGGGAAGCAAGGAGGTGCGAGGGAGGGAGTCAGTTAAGGCAGGGGTCCCCAACCGCCGGTGCGCGGACCGGTTCCCGCCCG